GCGCTCATATGATAGAACAGCAAGCCTTTCCACTGATGTCAAGAACCTAAAGGAAGATATGAAGCAGTGCAAGAAAATAGGGCGCGAAATTGAAGACCTTTCTCAATACTTGCGCTGCGACTGCTTGGAGCTGACAGGCGTTTTACCAACGGAAGAAGTATCTTGTTTTGACCTTGTTTGTTCGATTGGGAAGGAAATGGGTATCGAGCTGCAAGATGAAGACATCTCCACGGCCCACCGTTCACTCACTTACAATAAAAGTGCAGAAGACAAGATTATCGTCAAGTTTACGCGTCGCAGTATTCGGGACGAGTTTTACGGAAAGAGGAAAACAATCGCCGGCAAAGAAGTTGGTAAAGTTGGCACTCTACGGGATCTTTCTCAAGGCCCAAAGAAGAAATTATATATCTCCGAGTCGCTAACACAAGCAAGAAAGAAATTGTGCATTACCATTACTTAATTTATTGGATTTACTTACTGTTACAAATATCTATAAACTACAGCTTCTTAACTTCACGCATCAGTGGCATTCTAAAAAATTACCAAATATCTTTAATCAGCATTTTCGCTATGCAAGTGAAGTCCATACATATAATACGAGATATGCTTCAAAAAGTAACTTCTACAAACCACGTTCCAGGACCAATATAGGAAAGCAAACAACAGCGGCTATGGCGACCGAATTGTGGCAACAGCTCCCTACCCATGTAAAAGACCTTTCAACTTATAACTTTCCTAAAACATTAAAAGAATACTTGTTGGCCGAACAATCAACTTACTGAAATTATTTTATTTTAATCATATCGTCATGTACTATGATGACTGTTTTCTGTTCTTTTTTTTTGCCATCTATGTGCTCTCTTCTTTTTTTTATGGTGTGTGTATGTCTTAAGATGTTTTGTATGTCTAGTTATTTTGATGTCCTGTACATTCGACACTACTTTCAAAGAACTAGTTGCTAGCTCGAAAACCTTACGGTTATCTAGCCGCTAGGCATTTCCTTCTATGTAATAACATTTAGTTTAAATTGTAATTGAATATTCTACTTGTTAAGTTACTAATTATTCAATAAGTTTGACAAACCCTGTAATGGAAATGTGAATAAAGTGTTGTTGTTGTTGTTGTTTCCATCAGTACTCATGATCATTTACTAGCTAAATTTTCAATGTAGGTCGAAAAAAGGTCCAAATTTTAGGATAACCTGCTAGAGTTTACGCTCACAAAATCGTTTGCAATATCCGCGTCTTCCTTGTATACTAACATCAGTTTTGGGTTGTTCTTTGTTTACGTCATAGTAGTTCCGATTCCTCTTAAGGACCCTTAATCAAAGCATTTGTGGCAGGCATAACTAATATCAGGTTTTTTAAAACTGTTGCAAACTCACTGAAAAATACAGGTCTATTTGCATTTAAAGAGTCTAGAGTGAAACTTTCTTGTGCATATGTTTTAAAAATAGTACGCTGCGTTTCAAGAAGTTCCCTTCTATTTTCAGTCTAAAGCGTAACTGTTGCTGATTGACCATAGTTGTTTTTAAACTTTCAAGTTTTCAAGATTCGTATAGATTAACCCTGGTCCATCAAATCTGGCTTTGATTCCGTTTACTAAGAGATATGAGGCGATCAAGACCGATTCTGCTGGTTGCTTCCTTCTCGAAAGTTAATGTTTGCTAATATCTGTTTTCCCTTTCATTAACAATGATAGAAAACTGATTGTGACAATTACCTACCTTAGTCCAGAATCCTCCAAAGCAATCGGAAGAAAAGAGCTTCCGGCGATCAATTTTATGAGCAAAAGAGTTGTGAATGGAACATTCCCGAGAAAAGTCAAGGATAAATACAATAATTGCTGGTCTTGTATAGGCTACATCATATCGACAAGTATCTGTGGTTAATGTAACGCACCAACAGCAAGCAGACGTAGCACAGGCAGACCACCCTCTGTTGGTATGGCAAGTCATTGTTTATTGAAATCTGAGCATCTATTCTTCATCATACAGAGGAACAGTACAGCGGCTACAATTTGCTCTTAAACACAGACTTCATCGTGAATATTTCAACAAAAGTTAAAAGAAATGTTAATTGTGTCATGTGTCATGTTTTTGTCCCGAGCTGTTTAAGTCTATACTTTGCAAGATAATGTTTGACCAATGGCGGTGAGTCCTCATCATGCTCAAGATGAGGACCAACGTAAAAAATCTCTTCGATCCCGATAAAGAAAACTTCTAATCATTCTTTAAACAAGCTTCCTTTTCTCAAGCAAGGACAGCTTATATTCCACTCAGGCGATATATAACGTCTGAGGCATAGCGCAATAATAATGATAATGATGATGATGATGATGATGATGATGATAAAGCATCGTGTCTCTAAGCTGTGGAAGCTTGTGAGACATGGTTGAGAAGACCCAGAAAGCGTGACACGAGTTATTATTATTATTACTATTATTATTATCTTGTGACAATAATAATAATAATAATAATAATAATAATAATAATAATAATGATGATGATTTGAAGTAGTCAGCTGCAAATAAGTGTCTAACGCAACCACTTCCCCTTTTTGGGAAGGAGGGTGTTGCGTGATGAGTATCGGAACTTTTCCTTACTGAGAAAACCCCCGAGGACGAATTTGGGTGAATAGGTGTGCTCAGAAGCCTGAACCACACCTATATTAGGTGGTCTCCTTTAGGGGTTGAATTCTCTTTCATCGCCAAAATAAAGACTTTATTCTTACTCAATAAAGATAAAACAAGCAAGAATAAAATTTAATCAAAAGCAACAAGGTGTATCTTTCATACAAGGAGGGTCGAAAGTAACGTCTTTACTTTATGACGTCGTCGACAGAACAACTTTATCAGTAAAAGTAGCAAAAAAAGTTAATGGACAGTAAGGGTTGGCTATTTAAGCGAAGTCTAACTTAGATCGGGGATAAGGAAATCTTTGGATCTCCAGATCTCCAGTGGGTTATTTTAAGGAGACAAACGATTTTCCGGTCTACACTATATGGCGCTCATGAAACTGTTCACGATAAATGGTGTTTTCATTGGCCGAGAGGCCACCACGTGACCTGCAAATTACTGCCTGCAAATAATATTCTGCTCATGCGTAACACGATGGTCAGGAATGGGTGTTTTTCCTCCCATAGGGCTCATTAGAGACACATAGATGATTATGAAATATTCCGAATGAAACGAAACTTGGCAGGGACATAGTAAAAGAAAGTCCACATGTATTTATGGTAGTTTTATACTTTTGATTGACAGCATGACGTCATAAGTGACGTTGAAACATGGCGCTAAAATTTGGAAGTAATTATTTGACTCAAATAACTTTATAAATAAAATCTATAAAAAAACGGAGCTTTCTGGTGAAAACCCCACATAACTCCGTTAAATTGTTACAATGTTAGAGCTAACTAAAGAAATTCAAATTTCCCGCCAAATGTATTGAATTAACCATATATGGTCAAACTTTAGGGGCATTTAAACTCCAGCTTATTAAACGAAACAGTAAGGAAACTAAACGAACCATGCATAAAAGCAAATTTGTAGTTTTTTAAATTTGGGATATGGGGTGTCAGGTTGCATGTTACGTCATTTCATACCATGTTGACGTCATATTTACGTGTTGATGACGTCACAAGTGAAAATACCGATAGAGTCCCAATATCAAAAAACTACAAATTTTCTCCAGTGTGTTATCCGCTATTTTTCTTTTAACTTCCAGTTATTGTCTTGAACTGGAAACCTTCCTAAAGTTTTG